ATAGCTGGCCAATCACAGCTCACCTCGCTTTTTCAGACCGATGAGCTTTGTAAAAATTGACGCGTTTCAGAAAGGCGGGGCATAGAGGAGAAACAATAATGTACAGTATGTGGAAAATAATGTGTTTTTGAACCTTAAACCGCATAAACACATTTCATTACACCAAATACACAAAATAATGTTCTTTTTAGCAACATCATATGACCCCTTTAAGGAAAAATAAAATATTCAAAACAGCAATACCATATTTAATAGCAATGCTAACTACAATTTCTTAAAATGGTGATCACATTTTTACTTCTTACTAAAGTATACAATAACATTCAAGTTTGGAGTATTTAATTTAATTATTTAAGAATTTTGAAATAATTTTTTTTTTAAATTGTTCAAGAATTAAGGTCCTTGCACATGAGTCCGAAATTTTCATATGCGTTTTTTTTTATTCGTCATCCTAAAAAATCATCACACACAGAAAACTTGCACACTGAGTCCGATGCATATTAATATTCATATTTACAGAATGAATCCAAATACCATGATGGTTTTTGAGACCATCTCAAGATCTGTTTTTTTTGTCATTAAAGCAGACAATTTGCCAGCAAAAGCAACAATTAGAGCACAGATCAGGAGACCTCATGAAACTGTTCATGTCAGATGGTCTCATCTAGTCATGTGTCTTTGCTCACACACATGCAGACGGTGCAGCATCTCTTTCAAGAATTCATGTGTCCAGCCTACCGTGCAGATATTGCCCAAGGTGGCATGAAGCTTCACTCGCACCAGACGCTAAAAGCACCATTACACAGATCAGTCCAGGTGTGTTGAGAGCTGGAGGTCAGGCTCATCTCACCACAACCTCAGCCAACATGCTTCAAAAAGCAAAAACAATTACACCTAAATGACCACCAACTGGCAGTTCAGCAAATCATTCAAGCGCTGGACAACACAACGGTGTTTCAGAGGTTCTGACGGATCAGCACGAGTTTGTGTGTTTGGTGTAAGAGATGAGGCTTTCCTCAGATAATATGTAATCTGTATTATTAAACAAAACATAATTCACAAAGGGGCGGGGAGTGTGAGGGCTCATCAGCCAATCAGGTGTGAGGAAGTTCATCCAGGTTACTTCAAAGGTCAACAAGCAGATTCCAGCAGCTTTACCTTCCCCTTACAAAAATGTGGCACTTACCATGGTATATCCAGTAGATTTTAATAGACTTTAATTTTATTATAATGTCCCATAATATTGGCATCGTCATAATATGTGTAAAAATGTAATGCATTATTATTATTATTATGGTAATATAGGTATTACCATAATACAATGCCCAACTGAATATGGTATTATAATAATACTTATTATAATGGGGAAAAAGGTATTTTCATAGTACCATCTGAAAATATGGTATTACCATGGTATCATATTAAAAATATAGCCATTACCATTACCATTACTATGTTGTAATGAATAGTTTTATGTCAAAACAAAACAAAACAAAAATAAAAATCATGGTATTGTTGCAGAAAAAAACATGATTACAAGATTACAATATCCAAATGAATGTGGTATTATCATGACAATTGTCCAAATAGTTGTTTTCATGGCACCATAAAAAAAACATGGTATTACCATGGTATTATATTAAAAACATAGTATTACCATGTTGTAATGAATGGTTTCATGTCAAAACAAAAGTAAACTAAACTAAAATATTAAAATAAGTAAAACAAAATAATTGTGGTATTGTTGCAGAAAAAACAGATGAATATGGTATTATCATGACAATTGTAGTTATTTTTCATGGCACCATTCAAAAGATATTGTATTACCATGGTATTATATTAAAAAAAACAGTATTACCATGATACAATGGTCAAATGAATACAGTTTTTTTTACAGTCTTGTCTTCAAAAAAAGAATGATCATGGATTTTTTCCCCCCAAATAAATAAACAAACATGGTATTACAAGATACATTGTTCAAATTGTTCAATACTTGTCCAAACTACAAAATAGTATTATCATGGTACCATTATAAAAAATAAAGAAATAAAATAAATAAATGTTTGTTATTACCATGGTATCATATTAAAGAAGAAAGTATTACCATGATACAATGTCCAAATAAGTACAGTATTAATTTCATGACACTATTTCTAAAAGAAACACACACACACACACACACACACACATGGTATTACCATGGTATAATATGAAAAAAAAAAACTATGGTATTTTTCATTGTACCATGTTGTAATGTGGGGTTCTGTTGTCATGAGACCCTCATTGTCTGCTATAAGTAGCCCTCATGTTGCCATTGTCTTTTGTCGTGTATTGAAGTTGTAACCCGCTGTTGGTGAGTCTAGTCTGTTTGTGCCTCATCAAGTCAAGTCTGTGTATCTTGTTTGGATTATGTTTGGAGTACCTGTAAATAAAACTGCACTTGGGTTCTCACTATGCTCGCCTTCAGTGGACTGATTCGTTACAGATGTCCAAAACAAAACAAGACAGTAGCACCATGGTTCTTTTTCACTAGTTCCAATTTTAGTTTTTAGTCCTTTACGTGTTACATGAAACAACTGTGTTCAGAAATCTAATTGACTTTAATGCAAAGAGCTCAATTATTCATGAGCAGCTTGTTAATTATTCTTTATACGGTTAGGCAGATGGCACTCCCAACAGAGCAAAACTCATTAGGAGAAACACGAAAACCTTACACTGATGCTGACCTGTAGACAGATCTTACAAATGATGCCTTAACTTGCCACAAACACGTTTTGAGGTGGCCTGTATTTTATCTCATCAAAACACATAATTATGAAAAATAAAGATTGCTTATTCTGTGTGACACTTGTCATCAGTGTGGAAAACAAAGAAGTAACAGGTACGACTCGTGTGGTGTAATTATGGGATGTTGTTACTTACGGGATGCCTCCGTCACTCAAAGAGGGTGGACTGATGGCCCAAATGTCTCCGCCCCTGGGCAGTCAATGGAGACTCTAGTTCAAAACAGTTTTAAAAAATTAACAACAGCAAGATGTGAAGGCTTGACTGTCTTTGAAAGATCATCAAGAGGGTGTTTGTGGGTGGTTGCTAGGTCTCTATGATATTTGGTCTCTAAATAGGTCTTAAAGGGATAGTTCACCCAAAAATGAAAATTACCCCATGATTTACTCACCCTCAAGCTATCCTAGGTGAATATGACTTTCTTCTTTCAGACGAATACAATCGGAGTTATATTAAAAAATGTCCTGGCTCTTCCAAGCTTTATAATGGCAGTGAATGGGTGTTGAGATTTTGAAGTCCAATAAAGTACATCCATCCATCATAAAAAGTGCTCCACACAGCTCCGGGAGGTTAATGAAGGCCTTCTGAAGTGAAGTGATGTGTTTGTGTAAGAAAAATATCCATATTTAAAACTTTATAAGCAGTAATCTCTAGCT